AGAATTAAGATCATAGATATATAAAGTTATTATTGAAAGATGTATATTGGTTACTGTCATTATAATTTCTGTTCCTGTTCTGTTCCTATTTTGTGTTTTGATAATTATAGTTTCATTTGTTTTCTTTCTGCAGCCCCTTGGGTAGGGTCATTTCTTCATTACTTTGTATTTCTTAGAGTATTCTCTATAGGGCTGGTGTAGTGGACATGAATTCTTTCAATTGATTTGTATAGTGGAAGATTTTTCCTTCCCATTCGACTAGGATAGATAGTTTTCCTGAGTAAAGAAAGCTTGGTTGGCATCTATGACCATTTAGAACTTGGAATATGTTGCTTCATGCTCTGGCTTTAATAGTTTGCATTGAAAAGTCAGCTGTAGCTAGGCATGGTGGCACATGCCTTTAGTCCCAGCACTCAAGAGGCAGAGGCAGGTGGATCTCTGCGAGATCCAGGCCAATCTGGTCTACATAGCAAGTTCCAGGCCAGCTGTGGCTACAGAGAGACCCTGTCTCAATTACCCTGCTGTAATTATGATCAATTTTCCTTTATACATAACTTATTTTGTTTTGCAGCTTTCAATACCATCTCCCTGTTCTGTACATTCAATGTTTTTACTATGATATTCCATGGGGAGTTTCTGTTCTGCTCCTTTCTAATTGGTGTTCTGTGTGCTTCTTGTATCTACATTGTCTCATCTTTCTCTACTTTAGGAAAATTTCTCCCATAATCCTGTTGAAGATCTAGTCAATGCCATTTACCTGAGATTCTTTTCCTTCCTCTCTGCCTATAATACATAAATTTGCTCTTTTCATGGTGTCCCACATTTCCTGCATGTTCCATTCCTGTGTTTTTAACATTTTTTCATATTCTTGCTCAAGCAGTCCAATTCTTCTACTTTATCTTCCAGCCTTGATGCTCTGATTTCCATTTCATTCATGCTGCAGATGAAGCTTTTTCCTCTGATTTGAAATTGGCTTAATGAGTTTTTCCATTCCCTCTTCATTTCAGCCTGAGGTTTCTTCATATTTCTTCTCTATGGTGAATCCACTTTTTCAGATCCTGAATTGTCTTTGTCACTCATTCATCCATATATAGTATTACCTTGAGATTCAGTCGGGAGTTTATTCCTGTCCTCTTTGGGTTCTTTGAGTTGTTTGTTTGCTCTTTAAATTTGTTGAATATTTGAACATGTTTATGATTGTTCTTTTAAATGGTATGACCTTGGATTCCTATAGGTAGTTATTGCAGAACACTTCTATAGAACTACTGGTATTTGATGGGGACATATTATTTTGGGTTTCCATCTTATTTGTGTTTTTCATTGTGGTCTGGGCATATGGATTTCCTTTGTTGGTTGTATGCCTTATATAAAACTCAGGCCTGCCTTTATTGAGTTGAAGTTTATTTTGTTTATCCATTTATCACTTGTTAGGTGCTATGTGGGTGCTGGAAACTGAATCTAGGTCCTCTGAAAGAGCAGTCAGTACTCTTTTTGGGAGGAAGAGTTCTTTTTGAGACAGGATCTCTAAGTAGCCCCAGCTGACCAGAACTCACTATGTAGACCAGGCTGGCCTTGAACTCACAAAGATCTGCCTGTCTCTGCCTCCTGAGTTCTGGGATTAAAGATATGGGCTGCCATGCCAGGCTGCAACCAGTATCTTAACCCCTGAGTCACCTCTCCAGCCTTTTTGTGTTTTGTTTTGGGTTTTTTTTCTGTTGTTGTTGTTGTTTCAGTTGAGACAGGGTCTCACTATGTAACACTTGCTGGCCTGGAGCTCCCTGTGTAAATCAGGCTGATTTTGAACTCACAGAGAGCTACTTGCCTCTGCCAAGAGCAGGGAGTAAAGGTGTGGGCCTCATCAACTGGTATGTTTTGTTTTTTGAGACAGAATCTCTGTAGTTCTAGATACCCAGGAACTCACTGTGCAGACGATGCTGGCCTTTAACTTATGGCAACAATTGTTCTGCCCAGGTATAAGGCAGGTTTATTTCTTTCCTTTTAAGACCATGCATATTTGAACATATTGTTTATTTATTCTGATGTGTCTCTGTGACTATGCACACCAGTGTGTGCATGTAGAGATCAGAGGAAGGCATGGGCAGCCTCCTCCATCACTCTCCCCTTATTTCTTTGAGGTAGAGTCTCTCAGAACCCAGGACTCAACTTTTCTTCCCTAGGCTGGAAGCCAGCAACCCCAGCCATCCTCCTGTCTCCACCCAACCTGGAGCTGGGGTTACAAGTATGAGCAAGGTACCTGGCTTATTAATTGAGAGCTGGGATTCGAACTCCCATCCTCATGATTGTGCAGCAAGTGCTCTTAACTACTGAGCAATCTCTACAACCCCTCAAATTCAGGCATATTTAAAAGACTAGAAACCTCATTTCTTACACTGGGTATGATAACACACACAAACAACAAAGAGCGAGAAACAGGGAGAGGGAGACCATGGTGGTGAGAGGGAGAGTGGGGGAGAGAGAGAGGGAGAGAGAGAGCGAGAGAAAGACTGAAATTTCATTTCTTCTTTGGCATGTGATTTTTGAGACCACAGCATCTCACTGTGTACCTCATGCTGTGCTTGAATCCTGCTCCTCCATGCTACAACTACAAGCATACACCATCATGCCTGAAACAGAAATTTCATTTCTTGAATATAATTCAAGAAATTCTTATTCTCCATCTTGTAGGAGTGTAAGATAAAATTCAGTTAAATGTGAGTTTCAGAGAAAAATGAATTGTCCTTAGTGTAAGTATGTCCCAATATTTCTTTAAAATTACTGTTTATTGGTAATTATATTGCTTTTCAGGAAAATCTTATCAGTGTTTATATAAAATCCAAATTTAACTGTACAGCATGTATTTTTTTTGTAAAATGTGACAGCATGGGGCTGGAGGGATGGCTCAGCAGTCAAGAGCACTTGATGTTCTTGTAGAAGGCCTGGGTTCGAGTCCCAGCACCCACATGGCAGTTAATAACCATCAGTAAATCCAGTTCCAAGCCCTCCATGGGTGTTGCATGACATGGATTCACTTACATACATGCAGGCAATACACTCATACACAAAATAAAAATGATAATTTAATAAATTTTAAAACAATCTACAGCACTACGTACATGAAAGTAGGCCTTATCCCTCTGCAAGAACCAATCAGATGTTAGTGCTGGTGTCCAAGTCAGGTGCCTCCTCATGGGCAACACACATGTGTGTCTGCCTCTGGATCTGTGATGACATTTGTCGGGAAGCAAAGGCTCCCGCTGCTTTTGAGACTTCTGGGGGGGGTGATGAGAAGTACCAGGTCTGTTTGCTTGTTTGTTTTTGCTATAAGCATCAGTACTATAAACTCAGAAATTGCTAGCAGTTCCCCTCTTTTGACGCTATAGGATTTTCCGTGGTGACTAAAGGGAGCAGAAAGGTGCCACTCTGCTCTCCTGTAAGGAAACCAGTTCAGTACCAGGAGGGTCAGGAACTAACAGCATGGTAAAAACATGATGCACCATTTCATCCAGTGCATAGCCAGCTGTAAATGGTGGAGGAGGGGGAGGGGCTGGTGTCTGCAGGATCGCTAGGAGAAAGCATTCACCAGGTACCATGGAAATGCATTGCCGACTCTGGATCTGGGATGGCATCTGTCTGTGAGCGCAGGCTCCTGCTGTTTTTGTGGGTTTGCTGTGTGGGGCCGGGAAACCCAGGGCTAATAGAGTCAACCTCAGGGTATGTATCAGAGACACTCTGAGAAATCCTGGAATGGGACCTCCTCCCTGGAAATCTAGGCGATTGATCCTTCCTTCCCTTGGCTTGCTGCTTCCAGCTTGCTTCACTGGACAGATTCGCTCTCCAGGACACCCCTGAAGTCCTCGACCAGGCCAGGAGGAGCCCTACCTTCCTTACTGATCATGTATCCCCACCAGGGAACCTGTGGTGTCTGGTGCTTAACAGACCATCCCCAAGCAGCCTCAGAGGAAAGGCCTAGTGAAGCTTGAGCACAGTCAGCCCAGTAGAGCCTGAAAAAAAGTCTACTTTGCTGAGAGGAGGCTCAGGTGGGGCCTGCTTCTCCTCCTGGTTGTCATTGCCCCCCCCCACTGCCTCCACCCAGAGGAAGAAAGCCTTCAGCCTGCTGAGCAAAGATTTCTTCCTTCAGGAGTTGATCTAGAAGGCACAAGGCACCAGGGTCTCCCACCTCCTCATCCACCTCCTCTGCTGCCTGCGAAGTCTGCCTTGAGAAGGTCATCCAGGTGGGTGCTGCTGACATGGTGTTGTGCCCTTCTCTAGAATCTGGACCTCCAGGGGCCAAATCTGGCTCAGGCCCAGCCAGCCATTCTAGGAGTGAACCAAAATCATTTCCCTCTCCTCCACCACCTCCTCCTCCTTCTCTTCCTCCTCCTGCTCCTTGGGGAGGCTGAAGAGGATGCTGGCCCGGCACCCACATGGCCACACTCGGGGCACTTGTACTAGGCAGAGCTGGTCCAGGTGTCTCTCCTGCCAGCCCTGGCTGGCGTGGGGCCAGGCGCATCCCTACTGGGGATGGGGAAACTTCTGGGGCCCTGGGGAGGTGGAGGAGCAACTGTGGCTCCTGGACACCCGTGCTGGTTACTGCCAGCTGCTGCTGCTGCTGCTGCTGCTGCTTCGCGGGGGGTGACGCGCTCTGCGGTTCAAAAACCAGATGTGGATTCTGTCCTCGGGGAGTCCTGTCTTTCGCGCCAGTTCCTCCCTGGCGGCAAAGCCAGGGAATCGGTTCCTCTCGAAGGCTTGGACCAGAATCCCAATCTGAGCAGCACTGAGGCGAGTACGCTGGCGTCGGCCTTCCTTCGGGGTGCCTCCCGCCCGAGGTGCCCGCGTCCCTCTCAGCAGCGGGGCGCGGAGCTGTCGGTGGTCTTCAGGTAGGCGCTGCGGCTGCTGGGCTACTCCTCTTCCTCCTTCCTCCTCTCCCCCTCCTGCTCCTGCTCCTCCGGCTGCCCCTCCTCCTGGCAGGGGCCCTGGGCAGAGGTCTCTGGAGGGCCCCGATGCGCCGCTTCTCAGGGCAAAAGCTGCGCGAAGGGCGGCCTTGTGACTGGGCTGCCACACCGTCTTCCTCCTGCGGAGGGACTCCCTGGGCACGCAGCAGCTATTGCTGCCGGACTGGCTCCGAGCCTCCATGCTGGGAAGGAAGCCTCGCCTCGCCTTGCTCTGCGGGAAGTCTTCGGAGGGTCGAGGGCAATTGGACAGCTCCCAGAAGCAGCAGCTGCAGCTGCGACAGCCTCCAGCAGGGATCACCACCGGTCAGTCTGCCCCTCTCTGCCTCTCTTCCACTCGGTCCCAGGCGCGCTCCCTCCGCTCCTTAAATAGCCCTGCAGCAGGCGGCCCTCGCCAGCGATTGGACCGCAGGGCCGCAGCCCGCCCCCCCCACCCGCGTGGGGAGCTTGCCATTGGTCCTAATCCTAACCCTAACCCTAACCCACCCTCCCATCCTCCCTCCTTCTTGGGCCAGCGCCTCCCTGTGCCCCTCCCTCTCTCCCTCCCTCCAGGGGAATTCACATGCCAGCCTGGGCCAAGGACTCATCTGAACACATTAGTCCCTCTCTACCGCAATTCCTCTGCTTTTGCCAGAACACCTGGCCCTCTCCTGCCTCGAAGACTTCCACTCCAGCCTCCGCCAACTTGCTCCCCTGCCTCTCTTCCTCTGGCAAATTCGGGGATGCCTGTGAAGACCCACGCTGGGGTTTGGGGGCAGCTTCTGACCTGGGGTGGACCATTGGCCTTCTCGTTTGCACCTTTTGAAGAGGGAGAAGAGGAGTTGACTTCCAAAAGCCTGGGAAAAAGAACCAACAGAAGGAAGGAGGGAGGGAGGGAGGGAGGGAAACAGGAAGGGGACAGGGCGGGAGGGATAAAGGGAGAGAGAAAGAAGAGGGGAGGGGAGAGGAGAGGAGGAACCTCATTCTCTTGTAAGGGTTCAGAAAACAGGCGTTGACTTCCACCAGCCTGGAAAGAAGAACCAGCAGAAGGAAGGAAGGAGGGAGGGAGGGGGACACATGCAGGGATAGTTTTCATAGACATAAATTAAAAATAAAATATAAAATAGGTCTAGTTAGACTTGAATTTCAGATAACAGTGTGGGGTTTTCTTTCTTTTTTGGAAATTTGAGTCTAAGATTTGTTATATTAGTTTTTTCATACAATTATAGCAGAGTAAACATTTTCATATAAGTATTTTCAGTGTAGCCTTGGCCTATAGTAGCCTTTCAAATTTAGTAAATAAAAATGCAGGAAGCTGTTACATTTAAATTTCAGGTAAGCAATGAACACTTGTAGAATCTGTATGTGCCATATTTAGCATGTTTTAAATAATTTGTATGTATCACATATAAGTAATTTAAACTATAAATTTTGGGACTGGGGAGATGGCTCAGTGGTTAAGAGCACTGACTGCTTTTGCAGAAGACCTAAGTTCAAATCCCACCACCCACATGGAGGCTAACGACGGTGGTCTGTAACTGTAGCTAACCCCCTTGTCCTTTAAAGGCAATAGCACTCTGCTCACCAATAGTTAACAGGCTCCTAACACTTGGCTCACTAACAGCTAACAGACTTCTTTGGACTTTGTTGATATAGAGGCTTGAGGAGGGGACAGTCTGCTCCCAGTATGCAGCAAAGAAGACCAGTCAGCTGTCCTTGGGATGCAGGGCAGGTATACACTCCCCCACCCCCTACCAGGACATCAAGCAGTAAGAGTGTACCTCCATGGCCTGTGTTTCTGGGCTCCAGGTTCCTGCCTCAGCTTCCCTTCATGATGGACTATAAGCTGTAAGCCATTTAGACCCTTTCCTCCCCAACTTGGTTTTGGTCAGGGTTTTTACCACAGCAATAGAAAGCTAAGACACCTGCACTCTTGTTTTTCTCTAAACACTAATAAAAGTGCCCTCCAGCTTCACAGAACTTGTAGGCACTGACTCTCTCACCACACACATAACATACACACCGTTCCTCTACAAGAACAGCCAGTGCCCTTAACTGCTGAGCCATCTCTCCAGCCCAAGGTGACCTTCTTTACCTCTCCTGATTTAGTCTGAAGTCTATTTTTGTCAGATATTAAAATTACAACCCTGCTGGGTGTGGTGGCACACGCCTTTAATCCCAACACTCGGGAGGCAGAGGCAGGTGGATCCTCTGTGAGTTCGAGGCCAGCCTGGTCTACAGAGTGAGTTCCAGGCAGATGGAGCTACAGGGAGACCCTGTCTCAAAAAGACAAAAAAAAATTACAACCCTGGCTTGTTTCTTGGTGCCATTTTCTTAGAATAAATTTTCCATCTGGTCACCATTAGATGGTGCCTAATCTTAAAGGTAAGATGAGTTTCATTTTTTAAAGTATTTTATTTAGAGCCATGTGTGGTGGCACATGCCTTTAATCTTAGCACTTGGGAGGCAAAAGCAGGCAGATCGCCATGAGTTCCAGGCCAGCCTGGTCTACCTAGTGAGTTCCAGGCCAAGTGAAGCCACAGGGAGGCCCTGTCTCAAAAAGACAAAAAATATGTTTTATTTATTATTTTTTTACGTGTATGTGTGTATTGCCTCCATGTATGTAAATGCACCATGTCATATAATGCCTGCAAAGTCAGAAGAGAGCATCAGAGCCCCTGGAACTGAATTTAAAGATGGTTGTTAGCCACCATGTGCATGCTGGGAATTGAATACAGGTCCTCTCCAAGAGCAGTCAGTGCTCTTAACTAAGTCATCTCTCCAGCTCCGAGATAAGGGTCTTGTAGACAACAAATAGATGGATTTTTTTCTTAATCCATTCATCTAGTCTATGTCTTTTGACTGGGGAATTGAGGTCATAGATATTTAAAGTTATTATTGAAAGATGTGTTTTGGTTACCATCCTTATAATTTCTGTTCCTGTTCTGTTCCTATTTTGTGTTTCGATAATTATAGTTTCATGTGTTTTCTTTCTGCAGCCCCTTGGGTAGGGTCCTTTCTTTCTTCATTCCTTTGTGTTTCTTAGAGTATTCTCTATAGGGCTGGTGTGGTGGACATGAATTCTTTCAATTGATTTGTATAATGGAAGATTTTTCTTTCCCATTCGACTAGGATAGATAGTTTTTCTGAGTAAAGAAAGCTGGGTTGGCATCTATGACCATTTAGAACTTGGAATACTTTGCTTCATGCTCCTCTGGCTTTTATAGTTTGCATTGAAAAGTCGGCTATAGCTGGGTGTGGTTGCACATGCCTTCAGTCCCAGCACTCATTAGGCAGAAGCAGGTGGATCTCTGTAAGATCAAGGCCAATCTGGTCTACATAGCAAGTTCCAGGCCAGCTGTGGCTACAGAGAGACCCTGTCTCAAAATAAAAAAAAAAAAAAAGAACAAAAGTCAACTGTAATTATGATAGATTTTCCTTTATATGTAACCTGTTATTTTTCTTTTGAAACTTTCATTACCATCTCTCTGTTCTGTATATTTGATAGATTTACTATGATATTCCATGGGGAGTTTCTGTTCTGGACCTGGCTAATTGGTGTTCTGTGTGCTTCTTGTATCTATATTGGTTTGTCTTTCATTAATTTAGGGAAATTTCTCCCATAATCCTGTTGAAGATCTGGTCAATGCCATGTACCTGAGATTATTTTCCTACCTCTCTGCCTATACTGCATAAGTTTTCCCTTTTCATGGTGTCCCACATTTCCTGCATATTCCATTCCTGTGTGTTTAACATTTTTTCATATTCTTTGCTCGAGCGGTCCAATTCTTCTACTTTGTCTTCTGGTCTTGATGCTCTGATTTCCATTTCATTCATTCTGTGGATGAAGCCTTTTCCTGTCATTTCAAGTTGGCTTATTGGGTTTTTCCATTTCAGCCTGAATTTTCTTCACATTTCTGTCTCTTTGGTGAATCCACTTTCAAAGCCTGAATTGTCTTTGCATTTCTTTCAGCCATATACAGTATTACCTCAAGATTCAGTCAGGAGTTTATTCCTGTCCTCTTTGAGTTCTTTGAATTGTTTGTTTGTGTATAAATTTGTTGAATTGTTGGAACAGGTTTATGATTTGCTCTTTTAAATTGTGTGTCCTTGGATTCCTATAGGTAGTTATTGTAGAACACTTCTGTAAAACCAGTGGGGTTTGGTGGGGACATACTATTTTGGGTTTTCATCTTATTTGTGTTTTTTACTGTAGTCTGGGTATATGGATTTCATTTGTTGGTTGTATGCCTTATAAACTCATGCCTGCCTTTCTTGAGTTGAAGTTTATTTTTATATCGTTGCTCTAACTTGGTTGCTTTCTGATTAGATATGAATAGTTTGTCTGTGCTTCGTGTTCTCCTTTTTGAGTTTTTTATTGGAAGGACTAGATGGATCCAGGCAGGCTAGTCAGGAGCTCTCCAGGAAAGCCAAGGAGCCTAGGTCCAAGTCAAAGTGATGTGGATCATCTGGGTCAATTCTAAGCTAAGGGAGAAAGTGTGGGCCCTGGAGCCGTCATATGTGGATAGTCCCAAAGAAGGTGGATAGTGATCTGGGGTGCAGAGGATCTGGATAGTAGTCAGGAGCTCTCTAGCAGCACAGCAGGAAGGGACCTAGTACCAAGGAGGGACAATATGGACAGGGTAGGCTGGTTCTAACCAGCTAAGCAGAATAGATATGAGCTCCAGAGCAGTGCAAATCTTTTTTTTATCTGTTTATTTGCCTTTTATGTGTATGAGTATACTGCCTGCATGTAGGTAAGTGCACCCGTGTCATGTAATGCTCTCAGAGGTCAGAAGAGAAACTTGAATTCCCTGGAACTGGAGTTACAGATGGTTGTTAGCCACCATGTGGGTGCTGAGACTCAAGCCAGGGTCCTCTACAAGAGCAATCAGTGCTCTTAACCACTGAGCCATCTCTCCAGCCCCACAAATCTTAATTTTTTAAATTTATTTTTATGTTATATGTATGTGTGCTCCTGCATGTTTGTAAGGACACGTGTGCATGTAATGCCTGCAGAGGGCAGAAGAGGGTATCAGATCTCCTGGAACTGTAGTTACAGATAGCTGTTCTCACCATGTGGGTTCTGGGAACCAAAACTGAAGCTTCTTTAGGGATGGATCTCCTTGCAGTCCATCTGGCTTGGAACTCACTATGTAGACCAGGTTGGCCTGGATCTCACAGAGACCCACCTGCCTCTGCCTCCCAAGTTCAGGGATTAAAGGCGTGCACCACCACTTCTAGCTGCAACCAGTGTTCCTGCTCAATGAGCCACCTCCCCAGCCCCCTTATGTTCTCATGTATTTATGAAGTAAATATGTTTTACT